TTCTCTGTTGCGTCAACAGCTCTTCCGGCAGCAACCAAGACCCTCGCTGGTCCTCTGCTGTCACGTCGAAGCGAATCTGCCCCAACAATAGCGAGGGCTCCTCTAAAAAAGGTGTTTCATGCAGCAGCGGTGCCCACGCAGCATACCTCCCAGCTTCCTGCAAGGCCTTCACGTACTCATCTGTCCGTACTTTCCTACTCCATGAAGCGCAGGAGGAACCGTCAGTTTTGTCGCAGGGAGTTCCTGAGGATTTCTGTGAGGCGCTACGGTCTGAAACAATTAGAATATCTTGTTCCTGCTGGGCGTGTCCGGTCTGACTAGCTGGGGCTTGTGGTAAGACACAGCTCATCTGGGATGTTTCGTTGCATTCTGTTGGCGGCGCCGATGAGACAAGGGCATGATCATCCGTAGTGTCTGTGTTCCTCCATCCTGTGGTTGGCGTTGAAGAAGGCGACGAAGATATGGCTTTTACCTCTGTATTCCAGTCTGGAGATGAATCCATAGCAGCCTCCACACCCAAGAAGCGTGGGCCACTTGTCTGACGGGAACAACTGAACGCTGACCTGGGAGTCTGGTCACCGGCTCCGAGACTAAAGCGATACGACCGTTGGGTGCTTCACGAGTGAGCATCCCCTCTTTGCAACTTCCGGCAGACTGGCGGGGACAAGCTGGGGTATGTCCTGAGAATGACGCCAAGCATCAGCAGAACAAGCCAGCTGACAGTACGACTTATGGCGAGAATAATTTCAAAAATGGAAATATGCGACAAATACACGATCCATGAGCATGATGGAACGCTGTCGAGCCCTCGCTGGCTCTGGCCAGAACTGGGACAACTCGGATGCTACAGAAACACGCGAGGCAACAGTCCAGTGCAGAAACGAAGTCACGTAAAATATGCGCCATCCCTAAAAGTAATAAAGTTCTTTTATAGTATGTTCCTGGCTTGGAACCCCACACGCACTGGGGGGCCCTCTCACCCGCCTGATTACGTCACTACTACTGGGTGGCTTGGCTACCTAGAAACCTGCGCATCAACAGGTCTGGCTATTTGCACAAATGGCAAAAATTTATTGGTGGTGCAATACGAAATGCGGCATTTGTGTACATTCCAGGGGTTGCTGAAAGTACAACGGGTGTACAAAAGCTCTTCAGCTTATCTGTCAGAGGACTGTGGAGGTACCGATACTTGCGGGCTTACTGCATACTGAGAGCTAAGTCCATGTTTAACAGTTGGTTACGATGTTTGTGCATGCATAGAAGGATGCAATGGATATGTCTAGATGCTGAGTTGCTTTGCGGCAGGACTTGCATCAAGACGGGCTGCAACTCGCAAGAGGCCCATTCCCTTCATCACCAGCCCTGGACCTTTGTGCTGCAGTGCTCAAGATGCATGGGTATCGAAGGAAAAGCCAGCGGTTGCGTGTTGGAAGTATTTTTCAGTACCACAGCTACGAAGCTACTTTAGTGTTGCAAGGCGTGTCTGAGCCGGTAGGGCTGGTAAATTTCCGGAGGTATCAGGAAAATTACCACGGGTATAGCTGGCCTGAGGCAGCTAACCACTCGTAGCGACATTATGCCTTGTTCTTTTGATCGCCGCTGCTCCTAGCAATGAGGCGCAGGTGTCTCGAAGCGTCGAGAAGCGTCAAGTTGTTCACCAACCACCAGGGAACGTGAGCTGGGTTCAGACCGCCATGAGACAGCTTACTTCTGTCCTGTTGATCAGTTTGATTATGCAGCAGTAATCCAGCTGAGTACGAGAGTAAAATTTGCTTCAGATACTTATGTCGCGGCAGTAGCTCTTCCGCATTAACTTACTGAATATGAGCGCTTCTCAGCATTCTCGCTAAGCAGAGCTTTTCTGATTGCCTCACTTGTCACGTGCATCTCGTTTTAGTGCATCGGCAAAAAATCTTAACAAGACCCATTGTGTTGGTGGTGTCGCCGATATTAAGTTACAATCGCAAACTGCAACGGAGTCAAACACCTCCTATGAGTGTTCACAAAACAGCTGGAGTCCCCTCCAGTTATCAGTCTCCAACTCTCATTGGTTGCATGCACTAACTGTAACCCTCAGTAAGCTGTTTACAGGCAAGTAGAACTGCATGTTCCAACTACAGACAAGCCATGCTACACTTTGCTTGGCGGTAATCGCAATCTTTCACATATGGGGCACTACATTTATTGCAGGTCACTTCAGACCAACCAAGTACTACGCTTGAGGGTATAGTTGCTGAACGATCCACTAAACCGCAGCTCGCGTCGATAGGTCAATTACCATATCCTAGGCCCAGTGAACAAGGTTTTAATTGTCATGTGGATGGACAAAGTGAGTGTGCCCAGCTCACCCGAAACGTGTAAGAGTAGTCACAGCATCTACAGCTTGCGATGGCCAGAGAACTGACAGCCTGAGTGGTGTTCTGAAGGTTGCCTGCGCAAAGATATCCCTCACTAGTACCTACATACCCTCCTCGCCGCACCGGCGGCGGCTGGAAGGTTCGATGCAGATAGCGCAGCTTAAATGCGACCCGCCGTTTCGTAACCGTTGCTCTGCCACGTTTCAAAAAGGAATTCATACATACATATACTTCTACCTAGTTGCTATTCGGATATTCCGCACTTATTATTTTTGATAGATATACGCCCTTACTCTACTCATACAAAACTCAAATATTTCGGGGCTGATCCCCCGTTCTGCCGCTGGTCGGACCCGAACTCAGGGGCTCACTCGGGTTGCGGGTTGACAACAGCTCAATGCCAGTTTTTTCCCGTGCCGTGATGCCCCCATTAAAAAGCCGCACATAAGCCGTACACATGGGACACGGCACCGCCAGCGACCGCCTTCCACTGCACTGAGCCAGTCCACCGCCACGCCGGTGTTTTCAGGGCAGCCGCGCATACGAGGGAGTGTGTTGCTTATGGGAAGGAAGAGGTGTTGCTTAGCCTGTGTGCAGCTCGTACGTGTATTTCAATTTGCGCGGAAGTTACCTATTGATAGCTAAGCAAGCGTTTAACAATTGTCTGCAGTTAATCCATGCAACTAATGGGGCTAGTAGCGTTTGAATGCGGGAGTGCCTTGCAGCAAACGCCTCCGGCGTTTGCTGCAAGGCACTAGTTGCAAGACACTAGATCATGGCCAGCCGCCATGCAGACGCACTGCCCCCAAGACCTTCTGTGTCGCCCTGCCCAGATTGCTTAGAGGCTAGAGAGGATGTCAGCGGCATTCGGTGAACTCTTAGCTTCAGTATTTGACACTATCTCAGCTCGCAACGGTCTTCAGCTGATATCGAAGACGCTCGTGATGCTGCAACTCCTGTTGCAAAGTCGCACGCATGCATAGCAGCCCCCTTTAGTGGATGTACTGATACTAAACAATTTTAAAACACTTACTTAGCCTTCAGAAGCAAAAAATGTGCGTGAAAGTCTAAATGCATAGACCAACTACAACCTGACCGTGACGCAGTTGAGGGCCCTCGTTCTACCCGTTTGTACCCAGCATTACACTGAGCAACGGCAAGTTATCTGATCCCTATGATCAGATTTTTTCTGTCAGTTATACGGAAAGCACAAGTTCCACCGCACATGTAGCGGCTCGCGCTGAGGATCGAGTCTCGATTCTCTATGGAGGACAGCTAACAGTGGTCCAACAAACGATAGCTTAAGGTGTTGAATTCCTATTGCTAAGGAGATCGACAGAAGTCAACAAGGCAGGCAGATACGTTCATTAAAACAAATTCATTGATATAGGGTGAGCCTGTTGCCAAATTTAGGTAATGCCTTGTGGGGGTCTCGGTGAGGCAAGTGGACAGCATCCTCCTGCCACGCTCCACCGCGGCAGCTCGGTTCACTTTCGCGAGGCAAGCAGCGCAGACTACGACTTGAGTTGAACAAGCGATTTTCTCTTAAGATAATTATTTCCTTCAACAGTTTTTCCTTCCACCCATAGCTTGTACACATTTACCGTGAAAATGGTTGCTCTCACCCGCCGGAGCGTGGCGCTCTTGGCGATTGCCGCTAGCGCAACTGCTGCTTTGGCTGCTGAAGGACCGGCGGAGGAAAATGTACAACTTGTCGCCGAGTCTCCAGATGGACAACAACCGGCTCAAACCACCCCACTTCAGACCCGCATCAGTCCCGCTGCAGCGGGAGGCGCGGCTGTTGGGGTAGCGTTGTTGCTTGCAGTCGTCTATTTCGGTTTCCAAGTTCTGGGCGCAAAGATCGTCCAAACAGATGCAAATGTAAGTAAATCCAGCCCTTTATTAATTTCTCCACTCCCTGCAGAATTATTTCGGCTTCGAGGTGGCATCCTCGGCAGTTGCGCGTTGCGGCTGCATTCTGCATTTTGTCTTACAGACGGCTGGCAAAAAGGTCGCCGAAGAAGTGTTGTATTGCACGGGTAAGCTCATCCTTTGGGTATGCCGAAGACTACCCTAGGAGCTTACTCAGTAGGGGATTGGTTGGTCATCGCAGGGAAGCCCGACGGGCTCTTGCAGATTTCCTACGATTCTGTTGCTTGCAGATAAGTTCACTCTAAGCACTCCCGGTTACAGTGCTTTCTTGACTCTTACCTTCGAGGTACGGCATGATCGGATGCTCATCGTGTAGGTAGCAGTTTGTCTCGTTCCATATATGTCGAATATGTTTAACTTTCTGGTTGTCCAACTTCACGCGGTTTGCTCGCAGGGCAAGTCCGCCGAAGTAGTCAAAGGACTTAAAGACGAAGAGAAGCAAACTAAGCTAGAAGTTCTGAGCGGACAACTGCAGGAGTTCCTGAACAGCTTGCAGAGTAGGTGTCCGAGGACTTCGCCTTCGAGAGAACCCCAGCATTTGGTTGGGACCACCTAGTGTTGTTCATCGACTTATCCTGTTATCCAATGATTTTGCTGATCCACCATTGATATATGTGCAATATGCGATGCTTCTGTCTTTGCAGAGGACGGTACTTACCCTGTAGAACTTTTCTTCGGTGATGAAAAAGTTACTGTTTCCGTTGATATACGGTTCACAGAGGAAACCACAACGAGCACTGCTGCTCCTGCCGCTCCTGCCGCTCCTGCCGTTCCTGCCGAGACTTCGTAAAGCCCAGCCTCAAGAGGGCACATAGAGTGGTTGCTACAGCGCTGACGGCTACGACCTCTGCACATGGAGTGGTTGCTACAGCATTGACGGCTAAGACCCCCGTTTTGGAACGATGGTGTCCTGACGGGGGCGACCCCCTGCAGCCAGGTTTTCCGTGTGTGTTCCAGCTTGCGACCTTTCAAGTGCATTCGCTGGGAGGTCCATGCAGAGCACAGCAGGAACTCTCTCTTTGTGCCCTTAAGGTATTTGGTGCTAATTTGTCTACATACGCAATTTTGGTCGTGTTTAGCATAGTTTATCTGGTTACGACTTTGCCCCCCTCATTACTGTAGTTCTTAACTGGCTGCGAAGCTAGTCTTTACCACAGAACTCTCAAGTTGCAGTTAATGCGGGGGCCAGATCACAGGAGAACTGAGACCCTTCCGTTTCGGTTGCTTCACTGCTTTCGTGTTCTCGAAACTCATTGTCGTACGTATCTTCTTGTGCACGCAATTGCAAACGCAAACGGTTGCCGACAGTTCTATTGTAACAAAGTGTCAACCGTCGGGTCCTTCTCGTGGGGTTTCATTTCTACCACCCCTAGCCGGAGACTCTTCCACGGAAAGAAAGGCGAGAAAGCAAGACTCGCCTCTCCAGGGCCGACCTGCGGCACGTGTTTGAGCCAAGTACCCGACTTCAGGGGGGCTTGCAAAACCAAAATAACTTCGGGCACGTCCGCAGGGAATCCAAACTCTACCTCCACAACGGAAGGGAGAAAGGGCCTACGGCGCACCTGCCAAATGCCTGTGACTGAAAAACTGCTACCTAGGGAGTACTTCTGCGGCAAGCTTAATGCCGCAATGCGGTTGGTAGACAGTGACAATAACAAACGCTTTCTCGTCCGGAGTGCCTCCCAAACGCGTAGAAATGTTGCTGCTTCTTTAGGACCAACAGCTCGCGTTAATGCCTCTGTTGCTGCATTAGCTGCAGCGATGCTCGAGTCATCTCCATGCAAACCGTCCTGCAGCTTGGCACGGACGTCCCACTCCCCCGCCACTGAAGCCTCGGTGTATTCTGGCACCGGTGAAGTCCACCAAGAAAGGAAAGAAGGCACAAACCGATGCTCCACCGGGAGGAACTGCTTGCTGCCGCTTCGCGCTGCTACTGGTGTACTAAGTTGCATGCGACCAAGCCGAAAAGCATGATGAGGTTCCAGTGGGGCTGCGCCTGGTCCTGTAGAGCAACGCGGGAGTTGTCTTGCGAGTGCCCCCTCTCTGCCATCAAGAGACAACACTGCTGCCAGGAGAAGACAAGAATGTAGGACGCTTCGACAGACTATGGCCGCCTTAGCCACAGTGTTCAGCGTCCCTATAGATCCCATCTGCTCACAGCTGCGTCAGATGTGCTATATTCTCGAGAAAAAAAGAGCGGACTTCATACAATGGATCTATGAACACCGTTGTGCGCCGCGAATGCACAAGGACTGGGGGGTAGGCACGACACACATGAGAAACCTAATATCCCTTCGACATGGCCCCGCATTCTTCAGTTACTTGGATTAATCTTTTGCTCAGCGGATGTGGTACCTTGAACTTGAAGGCAAAAAAAGTGGGAACATGCTTTTGTAGGGTTCTGCTAGATCCGGGCGGACGAGACGCTTCGCCGAAACTGGAGTGGGATGTGCAGGATAATACTGCGCCAAAGCTCGAAAAACAAACAGTACGCTGTGTAATAAAGAAAAACTGATATTGAAACTTGCTCTCTACGGTACAGCGGCAGCATGTTCGAAACCGCCCCCTCGAGAGTTCGTTAGCCTTGCGGAGCTGCCCCTACAGGCCGATTCCCGTTTCTTGACTCGCGTCTATAAGCATTTACAAAAGAGGCATTGATTGGCGAAAGGGGGTGCTTGAATAGGGTTTATTCAAGACAGTGCTAACCAGTCGTTTCCGGCGTTCGCTGTTGCTCCCACACGACAAAGCTGTCGTAACTTGTACTAGTTTTAAGCACTCACGAGCGCGACGTCGCGGCAGAGTCACGGCGACTGCAATCACCCAGCAAGATTTGCTACATGCTAGTTAAGCAGGTCAAATCTTGTGTACAGCCAAGCCAGAGATGCCAGGCGAGTAAACAGTACGGCAACATGTGTACGCCGACACGTCGTCGAGCCGACTCACCACCCAAGGGGTATCTTAAACATTCCCCTACGAATGAATGCTAATGCTAAGGTGCAACGGCAATGTACCTAGTAATGCTGTGCGAAGTACCCCGTCTACAAACTAAATGTATAACGCTGCGCCCCACGATCGCTGAGTGATCTTTATCTAGACAGCTACCAACTGCCGAATCTGGGGTGAGGTGACTGACGGTGGACCGCCGCCACGTTTCTACTTCTGCAATAGCAGTCTACACAGCCAGCTAACCCCTAAGTTGTAGCAAAGTTCAAGTTTGGACCCAGACAACTGTGATTTTGTGGACATAAAAGAACGCTGGAGGTCGTCAATTCAAAATCGTAAGCTGTCCTACGACCAGCAAGCGTGGTTAGCCAATGCGATTGAATGTTCCGCTTGTAGCAAAAACAAAGCTTTGGCCAGCCCCGTGTAAACTCCCCTGAATGCTGTGCTACCCAAAAGCCTCGCGAGGAGCCCAGTGTCATTACGCCCACTTCATGTTTATTATATATACGCGCCTGGTCGCTTATGATGTAGGCTCTGCCTCCGGAGCTTTCGGGGCTGCTTCCTTTGGTTGTGTCATTTTCAGGTCGAACTCAAGTGTGCATTTGCCTTCGCCGAACGTGAGCTCAAGCTTCGTCTTGCCGCTCTCTGTGAAAAAAGCAAAAAGAAAGACATGACCTTACTGCCAGCTAACGGAAGCTCATATGAGTTGTTTACCTACGGGCCTGGTTTCTTGGACATCCCACTTACCGGTCATGCTATCCAATAATCCTCTGACGTCGTCAGCCACTTTGTCAGAGGTTGCCTTTTTCTCTTCATCTTGCATAGCCTTGATTGCTTCCTTTGATTTCGCCTAAAAGCACATCGCATCAAACGTCGGCAATCGAGGTTAGTGGACTTCTACCGACAATGTAGTTGATCGGCAGAGCAGCATTCAGCACAGCTTGGCACATACCTCGTGTGCGACGGTTACAAGAGCGATGTATTTGTCGGTTGAGAGAGTGAACTTGTCTGCAGGCAACACGACGAACACACGCTTACAACCCCTGAATGGCACCCTACTATGCAGAGAAGGGCACTATGGCACAATCCTTTGCAGATGCAGAGCAACATGCATACCGGTGAAAAGAAAGACCTCTTCGGCGACCTTAGTATGTGCAACCTGCAACAGAAAGCAAAAAGCAAACACGAATGGTACAGTCACGACCACAGAACACCGGGAAAGCGAAAGAGAAGAACCAACTGACTCGGAGCAACTACATTAAGCAAATCGCAACTCTTACCCCAGAGTCTGCCTGAACCATCTTGGCTCCAAGTGCTTGCAGACCAAAGAACCCAATAGCCATCAACAAGACTGCGCCAGCAGCCGCTCCACCCGCAACCATGGGGTTGATGGGCTTCCTCAATTGTGGGAGTTCAGGTGACGCAGGCTGATCAGTAACCTCAGCAACTACTTCAGGGGCAGGATCTGCCGGCCCCTCAGCAGCCAAAGCAGTGGTAGCGCACGCTGCAATCGCGAGGAGCGCGACGCTTCGACGGGTGAGAGAGACCATTTTCGACGCAAAAGTCTTCTCAAACAAGTGATAAAAGGGAGAAAAATATCGGAAGGAAGTAAAGTGTTGTGACAAAGCAGGAAGAAAAACGTGCGTGAAGTTGCAGACTTCTGAGATTGCAAGAGGAGGCATCCAGCTGCCTCGTTGCAGCGCCGGAGCTGGATGCTGCTCTGCACCTCCCCACGATCCCCACAGGCGAGCGGTTGAGTACAGCGGGGCTTTGGCGCCCCAGAGAGAAGAAAAAAAAAGACAAAAAAAAGAAGTTTTTTACACCAATATTTAGTTCTTTAAATGTTACAGGCGTTCAGAGGTGTTCATTCTCACAAGAGTATGCTATAATCCTAATCCGTCCAGTGCCGCCGCTTCCGCTCCCGAGACACCGTATAGCACTCCGCGCGCCGCAACTAATTGTTTGCACTCGGCTTCAATATTCTATTTCTAAGCTTATATGTATATTATTCATATAATACATATTGTATCATTAATCTAATGTGAGCAAATTGCTTGAAATCCGCCCACTTTTGGGAACGTATGCTACCAACGAGCGGCAGTTGCAACGCCGCCCCAGTCCTAGATGATATCCACCGTGAGCTGCATAAGTACAAAAATAGGGGTAACTTTTGAAGAATAGCATATAACGTTCCTTTAGTCACTGGGTATCATAGGTGCAGCTTCGCAAACGCCTGGGCCGGTGCGAACGTGTAGCAAGAGTGATCGACAGCAACGAACATCTTGAGCCGCAGTGGAAGCAGTTAAAATAAAAGCGCTCCAAAGAAGTAGGCGCGTTGTTCTCCAGTCACCTGGTTTCTTGGATAAGACTTATCGAGGGATTACGGCTCCTTGAGGGTGTGCATTCTCTGTGGAAAGGTGGTACATGCTCTGCCTACAGTTAGTACGGGAGCCTTCACTTGGCCTTGGTAGGGTGAAGGGTAAGCAAATTGAAACGTTCTACAAGGTATTCAGAGGTAAAAGATGCAGTAAATGAGGCTTATTTTTTACATCCTTGTGTGCATGTGTGAGGCTCGCTTGCTTCACTACCCGCAGCGAGCTGCGCAGCAACCCCATTTCAGCATCCTCCCAGCAATACTCAGGCCCTGAGCTCAACACCCAGGGGACCCGAGGGCAGGAGAAGGAGCTCTTTTGCTTCTGGAAAAATCTTACTTAGAAACATTTTACTCTTTGCCTACACTGCAGCTCGCGTCAGTCCCAGAAGGCCAGGGGGCAACCTTTACAGCACATGTATCTTTATTTGTGTACATCGATGCAAGGCAAAGTAAATGCTCAACGACTGTCTATAGTATTAGTGTACTTAACTGAAGGTCTTTGCTCGCAAGACGACACAGTTGTGGTGTACGTGCCGGGAAGCAGTGAGCCAGTGCGCCTCTGAGCGCTCCCAACGGCATTTGCTTCCTATACAGTAAGAGGAGTGGATGCAGTGCCCCAAAGAAAGAGGAGCGAGGATAGTGGCCAGTGCCGGGACACTGCAGGAAACGGCGGAGATTCACATGTGCTCCATCGTGATGGTCTGACAAAGAGCGCACCTTCGGCGGGCTCTATACAGTTAACACCAGAGGAACAGGCAAAGCGAGCGCAATTGGAGGAAGAGTTCTTATATGCTCTAGATAAGAAAGTGCTTTCAGCGGGCCGTATCCCCTCTATACGCTCAGTGTACGGCATCTATGGCGCTTCTGGAGCAGCCCTGAGCTTTGTTCCAAGGTACCGCGACCCCCCGATCTAGATGGTGAGGAGTAAATTGAGAAACAAGCAGACAAACTGCTAAGAAAAGGCAAGGTTAAACCGTCTTATAGGGTGTTTGGATACAATCCGGCCCTAGAGTGGCAACGCCGCATGAACTTCAACCCCCTCAAACAACTCACAGTGAAGCATGTTTCCGATATCCGGAACAGGTTTCAAATAACCGGAATCGCAGAGTGACTCTAGCACTTGCAGCATTCACCAGTCTATTCACCGTTTGACTTCGTTGATGCGTTTACGCATATCTAGATTGACCCAGGCGAAAGGCGCAAGCAGGCGTCCCATACCAGGGCTCGCAAGCAAGGGGGCGCCTATCTCGACTTTCGGCTCGTGAATGCACCAGCCGGACAACGGAGACAAACCACCCATGACTTCTTGTGTGTTCCTTCAGAATGTGGTGTTATTAACAGCTGGCCTTGTACCACATCAGCGACACACTTCCGTACACCGGCTTTGCACATGCTCTGGAATGCGTAAGTAAAATAAAAGGGCTCCAGGCAAGAAAGTAGGAGAATCTCTGCTTGGCGGGCATACACAGCCCTGGCAAATTGGTATAAGTGGTTTGGTGCGGTCTGCGAAACTCATAGGAGGGCGAGCGGACGGAGGAATTCGCCATGCTCTCGTTAGGGCCCTTGACTCCTCCTCCGTCGTTAGGGCCCTTGATTCCTCCTCTGGTAAAAGGGGTGACTTACATCGTAGGCTTACCGCCAACCCAGAGACGTCACCATACTATTAATTTTGGGTATCTAAAACCGTTCGAAGTACCACCGAGACATTTCTCGAACGCCCCCCACAACATGACACCGTTATCGCAAAAAGGAGCAGCATGAGGATATTGACTCCCTAGAGACAGGCGCAACGACGGGCAGAAGCCAGAGAAGAATAGCGTGCAAAATGACCACGGCCTAGGCATTGAAAGTTTGACTCTGATGGTTGTTTGTGTGAAGGAATCCATCAGCAGCAAATGTGCGTTGCCTTTGACTCAGTGGTAGCGTCTCCAAGCGTTGGCGAGGATAACTCAGCGTGATATTGTGCTGCGTATAACACTTTAAAGAGAGTAACTTCGGCGCCTGCGACGTGATCCCCGCCGGTAATGATTGCGTCTTTGCTACAACTCAAAAAGATCCTGTTCCTTCAATTCCTTGTTGCTTCGCTCCCATGAACAACCGAGCCAACGCACGCCTCACGCGCATTAATGTTGCTCATCAGTTTGTTTGTTTGGGTTCCTACAGTTAACAGCGGCTGCCAACCCAGGGGAAAGATAAGTAGCCCCTCATTTGAGCAGTGGCCAGGCTATCGCATACGGTTGCCCCGACGAGGTGCTTTTGGAAGCAAGGCAGAAAGAAACAACAGTGAGCAGTATCGACAGCTAGCGCCCTTATATGTTCTTGGGTCACTGGCCCCTCTCGCAATCCGTATCTCTTCCACCAACTCTCGGTGCATCCTCTACCTGTTGGATAGCAAGGTAAACAACGGAGTTTGCTGTTTGAAGGGACGACGGGGAGAACAGAATCAGACGGCAGGGAACTCCCGTTATTGTAACAACTAACTGGGGGTTGGGGTCCTAGAGTTCCCAGGGCCCTCAGGGACGGGACCCCACCCACGTCTGCGACTGCACAAAACAATTGTAGGTTGCTTCCCAAAAACCTTGTTTTCCTTGACTTGGGCCTCCAACAAGAACCCAGTTTCGGAGAAGCTTCCACTGATGAGTTTAGGTAGGGTCCCAAACCCGTTAGACGATATAATGAGAAGTGATAAGGAAGGAACTGCGGGCGTGAAGGAGTGTTGCTGGTGAAGACCCCTCAACCCTGTACTGGTGCGCCCAGTGAGCCTGAAGGCTGCAGCGGAGTATGTTTGACTCTACTGCAACGAACGGAGGTCCTCCCCAAGGAACGAGAACTTGCGTTGAGTTCCCTCCTCTCACGATCGGCTTGTAGGAGGGCCAAAGTAAGCGCTGAGTACTCTTGACAGCAGCGACGGGTGAAACATATGCAGATGGAACTACCACGCGTAGCAATGAACAACCGCATCAAAATATGAAGAGTCCCCGGACTCGGCAGCCATTCAACTGATGCCTCAGCTTTAGGGATGCAAAAAATTCAAAACTTCGTTAATTATTCGCTGCACAGCGGGGCGCTAAGGGTCTACAAGCACACGCTCCGGCACGAACCGTCCCGCGGATCCTGGTGTTCGGGGTGACGAGCAAACATACATCAACAAAGCACCCATCAGCGTGAGCTATCTCCATTTGCCGTCTCATGGTGTTTGAATTGCATTAGAAAATGAATTTGTAGACACAATTGAACACAGGAGGGCGCACTTCGATGAGCCCGTGGTCGAGTGCGGGGACGAGCACAGGCGCTGATGAGAACTGACGCTCTGCTCACTCTTATCTCCATGCACAAACGAATGCACGATTTTGCTTCGACGTTTAACGCATAGTTCATGTCTTAAGCCAAATGACTTGAAAAAACTGCGTACAAGTGCTGGACAGTAGACCCACGAGCTGTGAGGTCTTTTCTGTCTATGGAGTTCTCTGCGCGTTTCCTTCGCCTAAAGGACGTCTTGTTGAGCGCAGGAGCCCCCAAGTATAGACTAGATCAGCTGATTCGCCAGCTATATGGGGGTAAAGTGACGGCTGTTGCGGATCTGAAGTCGCTGGGCACGCACGCCCAAAAAGCAATCGAGACGCAGTTCGGCCCCAACTTGCTAACTTTAAATTGTGTTTCTGTATCAGAAGCACCTAGAGCGACAAAAGTACTCTTCGAATGCAAAGATGGGGTCAGGATAGAAGCTGTTGCCCTAAAGTTTGCCTCGCATACTTCTCTCTGCATATCTTCCCAGGTGGGCCCTTCTCTAGTATATGTTGTTTCGTTGGTAGCGGATCTACAGAGTAGGTGCAAGTATGATCCTTCATGACGACCTCTTCATAATATACCACTTACATACGAGGAGTCTTTGTATCTAGAATTGCTCCCAGTAGTCAGCAGGAGGCGTGTGCGCTAGATCAACCAGCATTGGCGTGGCTGGTGCTCGACTTCTCACGACAGAAGGGGTCTTCAGATATTACGCTTGCACTGCTGTTGCCTTCTTTTCAGGCGGGATGCTCTTTCAACTGCAGCTTCTGTGCGACAGGTAAGCTCGGCGAACCTACCATGCATTCGTTGTTCTCAGCTGCACTGTAAAGTTAGGACAACACCAAAAAACATCATTTTAGGCGGAGGCTGAAACATACAACGGAATGAGCTTCTTGGCTTTTTGCCGGAATATTTTTCGCCCCGCATTGCGGTGCTAGTCACAACTACGGCGTCACAGACCATGTTGAAAACATCTGTTTCCTGTTGTGCTAAAGGGAAGATCGGCCTGAAACGCCAGTTAACTGTAGACGAAATATCGGACCAGGTGCTGTATTTCCAGGCCAATGGCGTACGAGCTGACTCTGTATCTTTCATGGGTATGCAAGATACTTTTGGTGTCCACCCACGAAGTCTGTGGAGCACCATCAATGACGACTTGAGACTAAAAATGTTTATTTTCCATGCCCATGCGCAAGTGCATACATCTATACACCCGAATACGCATTCACATGCCTGTGCGCTTGTATGGGTAGAAGAAAATACGGGTGGTGACTGTTCAGCATCCAGCGACCGTGCACCCGTAGTTCAACACTCAGAATGCGTTTGTTCGTTGGTGTTGCACTGTCCACACACATGAACTGCAAGGGAAAGCAGAGCATGTGTGGGTTATGCAGGAATGGGGGAGCCCCTTGCAAACCCCCGCGTATTTGATACCCTCAAGTTACTTACGGACTCTAGGGCATTCGGCTTGTCGGCGAGGCGTCTGAACATCTCCACTTCTGGCGTTCTTCCAGGCATTAAGAAGCTGAATCAACAACACCCGCAGGTACAGTGTATGCATTACTAAGCCTGAAATATTCGTGGATGATGCAGTACGCCAGATACAGGGGGGGAGATAAAGTGACGGCGTGAAACTTGGGTCGGAATCCTAGGAAGCATCTCGTTTTCCTTTACAAGCGAGAACGAAGCGCTTCTGTGTTTCTTGCGCTGCGCAGGTCAACTTGGCATTTTCTTTGCATTCTCCGTTTCCTGAGGAGCGCAATATTCTGGTGTGTCTGCAGTACAGATTTAGTCTCAACTGCAGTTTCCACTCAGCTCGATGCGAATAAGCGTCCTTAAAGCTAGAGTTCGTTGCCTTAATGCTCCGGTGCACAGCATGTCTCCAATGCTGTGCATGGCAGCACACGCCTCTACTATCCCAGCTAGTTTGAGTGCCGGTAGTGGTGAAGTTTCACGAGCCGGGTTAGGATGCAACGTCCAACACAGAAGCTGCTAGAGCGAGGGACACTTCGTTTTCCTGCTTTCTGTGTATGCTGCAGGTACCAGCCAACCGCATGTACCCGTTCTCGGAAGTGTTTACTCTCCTCGATGAACGCATTGCTTTGACAGGTCGTCGTGTTTGGATTGCGTACTTGTTGCTTCAAGGCAAGCACAAACGCATGCCAAAAATAATTTCATGTGTTATGCTTGGCAAGGCGCCGGTGCCCATCAGCTTTCAACAGTGTCAACAGTGGAGCGTCTACTTCTGCGTCGTCCATGCCAACCAATATAGTACTAATATAGAACAGTGAATTCTGGAGGCGCACTAATCCCCTACTACGGTGTCTGACCGGCTCCTCATGCTGGCCTGCAGCTTTCTTGTTCTCGGGCTGCCTGTGTTTCAGGTGTCAACGACTCGCCAGAGCACGCAAAAGCCCTTGCAGCGCTTATTAGGGATCGTCGAAGAACAACAAGACACCTATACCACGTGTCACTAATCGAATATAACGACGGTAATGCTATCCTCTGCGCAGGGAACTTGCAAAACATGCCTCGTCCGGACACAGCAGGCTGTAGTTAGTGTGCTTCTAAAGGCTGTGACGGCAGCAGGCAGGCTAATATTGTGCTGTTGATGGATGCAGCGCAAGGTGTACCGTCGACCCTACGGAGGGCAGATAGCAAGAGACTTCAGCAATTCGAGGTATGCACAGCGGATTCAGCAAACAGGTTTCGTACGTCACAAGCTGAAAGTGATGTTGCCACCACACCCCAGCTCATCGTACGCAAGCAGTTCGGTTGCATAAGTGCGTTTGTCGTGTGCGTAGGAGGTGCTTGACGCCGCATCCATTTCTCATTCACGAAGGTAAGTTAAACAGAAATACTATTCAGCGCTTGTGGTAATGCCTCACGATGCGCCGCACGAAATTAGAAGTGTAGTGTATACAAAATACGTAGTGCGCAAACTGGCACACCGGCTACCACCACCAGAAACCCCACGTTGCCAAGGAGCAAGTATGCTCATACCCATCCTACCGCAGTGTATTCAACAGAGCTTCACAGCCTACGCCTGGACAAACAAAACGCTTGCAACGGGTTCGGCAGAGCCGCTTCAACGCTCATGCAAACGTAGTAACTGCCCTTAATGGGATGTCTTGCGGTGTCTGTGGACAGGAATTACTTTGGCCGGGATATCGATGCTGCATGCGGGCAGCAGTTCGCAGGTGAGTGATCGCCTATCAGGCACAACCAAATAAGCAAGTTCCGAGCAGGCGCTGATTAAATGTTTGCGGCGACGTAAGCACGTTCCCGGCATTTCCAAAGTACCAGAAAGCCGTCTTCGGGTGTTCAGGACACGATGTTTCTCCATTGTTTTTGTGAATGCAGCATACGATCCAGAGCCCAAGAGAAAGGCAAATTGCCCAGTGCCAGCATCATAGAACATATTCTCGAACCCAGGGGACGCGAATTTTGCCGCAGTCAAAAGCGAGAAGTCGCAAACGTACAGCCGTCTGCCTAATGAGGTTGGTGGGGGTGCTTCATGGGTTCACCTCATTTGCTGTTTTAAACTGACGCGACCAGTCTCTCTGACCTCTGCTGAACAGGGCCAGAAAGGGGCAAGAAACCCAACCTTCTGCTCTCGCAGCCGAAAACGCACACGTACAACATTTTTCCAGTTAGCTTTTACAAGCCTGTTTTCACCAACAGCTACGCCATTGACAAGCCCTCACACTCAACCTGTGGCTTGCGCCCTCAGATGTGCTGCTCCACCTAAATAGGAAAATTTCAAATTAACATACTGTAGTTCTAAAGGTATCCCTGCCGACACCGCATGTAGTGTTGCAAGGAGAGAAGGCCGAGAATAGGAAGTAGCGAGACATATGTGGTGGCGGCAAGCCAATGACTCGCCGCATTCTGTACCTGACACGCCCTTCGAACTCCTTACGTCACCGGAATTTATATTCTATATCTTCCCAACCCCCTTGCCAGAGAAAACAAAAAAAACTTGTCAACAGTCAGTCAGTGAATGTGCTCACAGTGGCTGCAGTCAGGCGCCACAGCCCGTGTTGAGCTGATATACATACCCAAGTCACATAACGGAGCATGTTGATTTGTCGTTCTTATCCTTCTTCGAGTCAGGCGGCGGTGTTTGGGTGCCCATGCCTGGCGGAGTAAGCGACTTATCAAGGTAAAGCTCTTCACCAGGTGTCTTTCCAAAACCTAAAACCTCCGCAAATCCACGGACCCAGTCGGACGCCTGGAGAGTCCAGCGATCTTGCACATCCTGCAACACATATAACAAACCACCTGGTATGGGCAACTAGGAAATGCACAACAAATTTGCCTGGACATTCGTAGTGGCGGCCTCCACTCCCCATCATCTGACCCCGGCACGTCGTATAGTCCGCAAACTTCGCAGGAAAAATACTATCTATCTTATCTAGCTTATTTATGATTCGCTGATCCATTGTGCTCCGTTAGCAGATAGATAATACTGTAGGCACGAGAGTGGGGTATCTTATGTAGCTTATTCACGACTCGCCGATCCATACTGTAGGCACGAGGTTGCGGCATCTGCTCCGTAAGCAGATGCCCCAACCACGTGCCTACAGTATAAAGCTGCACTGCGTGTGGTGGCACCAACAAATAAGCCAAACGTTTAAACTGCTCTGTCAAGCATATACGCACCACCAAATCTTTGAATGGAGGCCTCTCTGCTGGGTTGATAGTCAGCATCCGACTTATGAGTTTCGCCAGCTCTGTACAGAGAACAAAACGAACTCGGGCTCTAGAGATGCATGAGTCAAGTCTGTGCGATACCATCCCGCCAATATAATTTCTGAGGATTATGCAGCCAGGGGTTGTTCGCCCACACGGAGGGCTAAACTTCTAAATGGGGCAAGCTCTGCACCGAACACTCTAAGCAAAATGGCAGTGCTCCTGCGGCGCGTCAAAATTGGCGAGTGTGAAAAAGATTGATAGGCTGGGTGGTTTGCTCGGCTACCGCTGAGTTTGCATACCTGGGGCTTCTGGCGAGTCGTTGTTATTCTGAAACTTTTCCAATATTCCCTTCAAACGCCTGGGCTTGTCGCGATACGCCTACACAGCAAAAGGGTAGCTCAGCAACCTCGTAGAGGTATTCTACCAAGCGTGTACACTGCGTTAGAGGTGGTGGGTGGAACATAGCGAGAGAGCCAAAACGGAAAGATACGCGTAAGCACAAATGCAGGGAGAAGTACTCCAGTGCTTTAGATAAGATATTCAATACATGTGGACAAGAAGGCAAGGCTGCTGGGCGGGGCTACCGTGAAGCAGAGAGGTGAAGACACGTACCGCCACATTCTGCAACGTGGCTAGCTGCAGCATAACAAGGCCCAAACAGAACACGTCGTGCTTGTGCGGCGAGAGGGTGTTCACGTATACAGCAGCTCGCTGGATTCGTCGTTCCGTCAGTGCAGTGTAGTATTCGGGAGAGCAATACGGAGGAACGCTAGCTAAGCCCTTGGCCACTTGCACAAGCCAGCGCTTGAATTCACCTACGCCATCAGCAGCAGAACTGGAACAGCCACTCAGCAACATGACAGGGTGGGTTGGGTTCAAAACCCCCGCGGTGTAGCGGAAAACACTGCACTGTTCTCTACTAGCGCGGAAGCATCAGTAGCAGTTCCTGCTGCAGTCCCGATGTGCTGCACCATGCCGTTCCAACAGTTTATGTGTGCTTCTAATCTCCAGAGGACCCCGAGGGTATTCGATGAAAAGAACTAGCTTACTAGGAGGAATGAAGTCGCCGATCAAGAGACGAAACCCATCATCTGAAACAAAAATGTTGAAGGGGTGGATGTTCCCATGATAAATGCCATGGTGCTCCAAGAAAGCCATGCTGCAGAGGGAAGGCAACGCATTTGTACACCGTGCTCGCGTGCATGCAGGACAACAGTTGGATATATGCTGCCATGCAACACCTGGGGTAGCTAGCATGTGTTCAGAGAGCGCTGCACTGCCAGCAAGGAGGGCTCTCATCCCAACGCACCAGGAAACAAGAGTCTTAGCGTTAGCTAACAAGAGATCCGGCTTGTACGCATACGTGCTCCTCTTCCCAGCCAACGCCTTTATGACTGCTCCCACGCTACCGTTCTGCATGAACGGCCTGAGGTACAAAAAGCTCATTCAACTGCCGCTGTTGAACTTGTTCCGTAACATTATACAGCTAAAGCACGACAGTGTGACCCACAGCAACTCTACAGTCTGGAAGTGCAAGCCATGGGTAGGCTGCAGTAAACCTCAAAGGAGCTCACTACGGGCTGCTGTCGGCTAGCCCCTGCGCCTGGCATCTAAAGCACTTGCAAACAGAGAAAAGTTGAAAGCTTGCTCACGTGATGGTTGCCGCACCAGACATGGGCCTAGAGCCGGCACGCGAGCGGCTAATTGTGGCGGTGTGAACAACCGGAAGCAACCCGACTTGCTCAAAGTTAAACTTTCCCCGCTCTACAATGTATCGCCAACTAAACTTCATGAAAACTTCAACTTCCTTCACCAATGTCTTGGCCCCTGCGTCATCATATGCCGCATCGCTGCGGTTAAATACGCGTCCATCTGCTGCAACGGCAGCTCCTGGGTCCATCTGAGACAACCCGAAAACGGCACATTTCCTGTACCCTCGGCTATGAGCAACCGAAATCAGCCAACTGCGGGAATGCCAAATGAGCGTTAACAGGCTACGTATATGTGTACATATATAGCTGCTAGGATGCTGTCATCTCTGTGTGGGCAGGGCAACCTCCATCTAGTATGCAGTCATGGTGCAAATATATCTGCATATGGTATATCCAAGCGTTAAACACATGCATGCGCCTGAACGCGGTGTGTGCAGCTGCCTGCTGTGTCACACACCGACGCCCCAGCCAAACAAGATGCAGCTCGCTTAGCGAAAGGAGCAGCAGCTGAGCTAAAAGGAAACCTTACAACTTTGGCGCAGTAGATGGACGGCACCTCACGAACCTTCGGCGCTACTTTGGGCGCTGCAACCTTCTTGCCTGCAGTTGCACATCATTCCCAAGGCTACATACTCCACTATAATGAAACGTTATAAGTAAAGGACTTGCACTAGAGAGAGATATCGCTGGGAGATTGCCCAAATTCTTGTATTTCAACACAAACAGCGAACTGCCTGGATACTGCAGAACACCACACCAGATGCGTTCTAGATATCAGTGACACGACAAGGCTCGTGATGCATACCCTTCTTAGCAGCCTTCTTAGCTTCCTTTTCAAGCCGTTCCTTCTCTGCAGCCTGCATCGCCCGGGCTTCTAAGTGTGCTTGAACCAGCAGCTCGTGGTTGAAGTCCTCCCACGGCTTGTCGAGTCGTCGGAGCTGCAAAGAAAACTCACGGTGAGCTGTGCCCCCACCAACTATGATGCTAGCTATGAAACGCGTATCAGATGACCAAACAGCACCAAAAATCCACATATTCGAAGAGTCAAAGAAGTACAGGCCACCTGGAACACCAACTACAAGTGAGACGGTTGAGCTGTGCTTAGCAAAGACTTCAAAGAACTGTTTCTAAGGCTCGCATGCCAAGCAAAACTACACAGGTGAGGACAGGATGCAGCACGAGTACACGTGAAAGTAAATATATCCTTAGGCCATATTCTACACTTAACAGGGGCCCCTAACGTGCTTCCCAAAACTCAGTTCAAGAGCAGTTCAAGAGTCTTGTCCTGCCCCTCACTTTGAACGCCCCTTAGTTCTACATTCAATATACTATTTCTAACTGTTCTACCCATGAGGCGAAAACTACTGAGCTATATAATCAGAAATGGACAGGTGAGGGCAACGCCGGGGCCCCAAACCCTTTACCTTAACCCCAAACCCTAGAACCTAAGTCAAGAGGAGGCTTACAGCTATAGGAAGCTCGTTGCGTTCCCAGGTGAAGTTCAGGCTGCTGGACTCGAGCTCCTTGAGTTTGTCCTTGACCTGAAAAAGAGAGTAAATCAGCGAATCACTCACATTGAGCAAGCCCTGCACCTTCATCCCACTTGTATTTGTGTAGTTTCTGTCCCTCTGTGTCTCTATTTGTTGCCTCTCCCCTTTTCTTTGATCGGCACTATCCTACTCCCCGGAGTGGGCAGATAGGGCTACGCAACAGAAGCCCAACCCAAGTTGAAATCTACACGCGATGCAGCTTTAGCTCTGTTTATTCAAGAGAAAACGGCCAGAATAAATGCTAAATGAAGCCCGTGATGTTGTTGTTCCTGCTTTCCTACCTCGTCAAGCATATCTTCAATCTCTGTTTTGAGCTGTTGCCTTTCCTCCAACAGCACTTCGGGGTCCTCTCTGAGCAACCAAAGACAGCAGAAGCCCCATGCCACTCGTGTGAGAAGAGGCGATATCAGTCACAAATAAAGTTTAGTGTTCACCTGCGGCATAACTGCGAGATAATGCAAACCCTAAACTCTAGACCCTAAGCCCCCCACTCTGCCAACTTCCAAACCCGAAACCCTTTTCTGTTCAGAGGCATGGGGTAAAAGATCCCATCCCCTGAGCTTTGAGAGGCTACCTCACGAGCCTCTTGAGCAAAGGCTTGATGATTCTCTTCTCTCAGTCACCTGTCATGGGGGTCGAATCTTTCTGCGTAATCCATTTCGTCGTCATAGTGCTCGTCTTGTTCATAGGCCTCGTCTTGCTCCTCCTCCATGTGCTGCGCCGCCTGTTCAATCCCCACATCGAGCCGCGCTATAGCTTCCTCAAGCTTAGCCCTGCAGAAGTAGCAGTTGCGTCTTGTGAAACAGCTCAGTGCCCCCCGTGGCAGTCAGCAGACAGTGCTATCCCTGTGTCGAGAACTCGCCTTTGAAAAGATACATTTGGATTTAAGACTAAAGAACGTGTTGTGCATGCATCTGTTGTGAATTAAGCACTTACTTCTCCTTCGTCAGCTCTTCCTTCTGCGCGTTTGCGTCATTCTTTATCAACCACGTCTCGCCGTGGGCAGCGTTTCCTAGGACACACACACAAACACACACTTCATACAAGTTTCAGAACTTGAAAGATTCTATATATAATTGTTTGGGTTTAACAGAAAGTGTTTCAAGCTCATACGGGTTCAGAACGCCACCACCCTGCTCATGAAATACTCGACTCTGCAGCGAGGGCACCCATGCAAGCTCCCCCTCACATATGGCTGTTACTCAGCGAAGGGCCGCAGCAGGTAAATACTATTAACAGATCTAAACAGTATGAATCGTTGTGAAGAGGACAAACAGGGGTAAATATTATAATTAGGTGTAAACAGTATAACTACCTGTAAATAATATAAACGTATAAAAGTAGTATAAGCCGATGCAAATCAAGTAAACACATGCAAACAGTACGAGCAAATGCAAATATTATAGGCATATGTATATAGTATAAACAGATGTAGATTGAACGGATTGTATTAGAATGAGTGAATGCACGGCACCTCTCACCAGGCATACGCTGCACTGCAACAAAGCCCGGGGGCCACAAAATCTTATCCCCCAGGGCGCCATAGCCCGGCGCCTGCATATTCATCTTGGTGATTGCTGATGCAAACTACGAGTTTGAAGAAAAGCATTTATTTATTCAAAAAAAAATCATTTGTTGGCTTGGGGGCTACCCAACCACCTCAGCGCAGAGGTCACCCTTGCGTCGCTGTGTTGTGAGGCACAGAAAACATGAACTGCCGCTGTGTGCCCGCTTCCTCCTTAGAATCTAAATATATTCAAGTTGTTTGATTGTTCCTTTACAGAGGTTTCTTCTTTCTCGTTGCTAGTCGTCAAGAAGAGGAAAACTGGCAGAAACGCAACACAGAAGCAGATCCCGCATAACTTCAAAAGAGAAAGCTTTGTATACGACAAGGTTACCTTCGTCCACCATACATATACCTTTCTTAGTGATGAAACATGAGCTGAGTCTGCTAAGAAAAACTCCGAAAAAGATGCAGCTGCAGGCCCAGTAGAACCCATAGCAGCATCAACGAACACCTTTAACACTAAGTAACCTGAAACATAAACAACTTAGTTGAATACTTTCTTGGTGCTGAAGGAGTGAATCTGTCTGTATATGTACAGAGTTTGCTTCGTGTTGTACTGAATCTGCTTCTGCAACTTTCCCTAGCTATGAAGAAGCAGACAAACCAAGATTAATGTAAATAAACTAAAAACCCTCATACAAATTTGAACATTTACTGAAAACACGATCCTCACCTACACAGGTGAAACATGAATGCGTGAACGGCAGACTGCTGTTCACTACCAGCCGGCCAGAGTTGAGGCAACAGCTACAAGCCCTTGAAATTCGAATAAACTTGAAACAAATGCATTACTTTTTTTCTTTTTTACGCTTTTTTAATGGCCTCATGAAGAAGCTGCAAAAAAGCCAATGTGCCCACTGGTCAATCAGCTCTGGGAGCAGACCACGGACGGAATGCATGCGTGCGTGCAATAACATCCCTTTTTTTTTTTGTCAGTTTTAAAGGATAATAAAAATACTTTTTAAATTACATATTTGTAATTTGTTAATTGAATTCAGCGGCCTTCTCTTTGAGCCTGGTGAACTGCGCCGATGCTCTTCATTTCCCATCGACCGAAGCAGCCCCGCCTGCCATTCTTATCTGCGCTCAAACTGCATAATAATTCTTTTATATGCAAATGGAATTATAAAGTTTTCTTTATTTTCTGCTTTATCGTTGCGAGGATCTCCCGTATACGCAGCGAATGATGGCGCCAGTGCTGCACACCGGCAGTCCGCAGCAGTCAAGGAAAAGATGAAGAAGCAGCAACAAAAAAACGTGAATTTCACTAAGAGAGGAATTATCTATGAATCATATCTTCATATTTTATATCTGTGGTGTATAGCGGAGGGGCATCACTGGGTTTCGGCTTGAGTGTTCTAGGTATAGTTTCTAGGGTTTAGGGTTTTGTTAGGGTTTTGCAGTAGGGTTTAGTACATATATTCTCGTTCTGTGCTCCCCGCTGTAACACTCTGTTTGTTGAGCGATCATACACGGCCCTGAAAAAGAAACAAAGACGACGAAACTTTCGTCTCAAGAACAACAATTTGCATCGAAAGAACAAAGAGAAAACCAAACGAAAACAGACAAAGAAGAGAGCTGCATGCAAAGTTTTTGCTGGCTTGCGTCAAGGTTAACCTGAATCTATTGCATGCATTTTGTTTTTGTTTCTGTTGTTCATCTTTCGTGTTAAACATTTCTTCATCTCTGGCGACTACACTATGCATGCATGATCAGGAGGGCCCCATATTTGGTCTACATCAGGAGCTCTCTTGCATGCATTTATTCTCTCTGTTTGCATGCATGCACTCTCTCTTACATGCATGCATGCATGCATGCATCCAGTTTCTTCTGCATGCATGCAATCTCTCTCTGCCATGTATGCGGCCAGCCCTGCATGCCTGCAGCCTGTGTTGCAGGCATGCAGTTTCTTTTCTTTTGCGTGCATGCAGCCTCTCTTGCGTGTATATAATTTTTATTCATCGAGAGGTATTCGCAGCAGTGAAGAAGAGCAGAGATACAACTTCTCTCTGTCACGCCATCAAGCAATCATGCAGAAAAAGAAATGAGCATTGGGGTGTATAGGCAGCTACTGTACAGAAATGCACGACGCAGTTGCAGTTCCTCTTTACATCATTTTTATTTCAGTTTGAATGCCCCTTATTCTGCTGATGACAACAAACCCTAAACCCTAAACCCTAAACCCTAAACCCTAAACCCCAATTCGCAGCGAGTTCACATCCGCTGCTGGTGCTGCGCGCATATCAATCGATACATTGCAGCAGCAACAACAGCAACGACAGCAGCAGCAGCAGCAGCAGCAGCAGGACGCAGCCCGAGACATTCTGTTTCCCTTTCTCCTACACCACACATATTAAAAAAACTCAAATACACCGCAGCACAGCAACCCTCACAGCAGACTCTTGTGGTGCTTGTATCAATACACCAATATAGCACAGTTGCTGCCGCTAGTGCAGCAGCAGCAGCAGCAGCAGCAGCACTAGTTTAGGTTCGTTCAAACTTTGCTGCAGCAGCAGCAGCAGCAGCAGCAGCAAAAAACTTTATGTATGGATTTCCTGGTGCACTTGAAGCAGCAGCTACAGCTGCGCACTCACAACGAGAGTGAACACCGCCTAGCGGAGAGCTCGCGATAACAGGCTTGCTGCTGCTGCGGCTGCTGTTGCTGCTGTTGCTGCTGTTGCTGCTGCTGCTGCTGTTGCTGCTGTTGCTGCTGCTGCTGCTGTTGCTGCTGTTGCTGCTGCTGCTGCTGCTGCTGTAGGCAAATGTACCCGATACTGATCGCCAACTATTTGCTGCTGCAGAGAACAGAGGGGATCCCAGTAAACAGCAGCGCAGCAGCAGCGGCGTTTGGCTCCTCCAAGCAGCAACAGCAGCAAGAACACCAACCGCTGCAGCAGCAGCAGCAGCAGCAGCAGCAGTCGATTCTTTCTGCCTGTGTCTTAGGGAAGACTGTCGAAGCAGCAGAGGGAGCAACACTGAAACTAGCACCGCGCCGCGGTGCGCTGTGCATACACCTCAGCAGCAGCAGCAGCAGAAACAACTCAGCAGCTGTACGCAGTGATGTGCTCGTTGCCTGCTGCTGCTGCTGCACCAACCCACAGAATGCTGTCTCTGCGTTTCTCTTCTTTTGTTTATCTTCATGCTACCAGCTGCAATGAAGCTATTCGATATTATAAAGCTGCTGCTGTATACGTTTATGCAGCCGTCAGGTGTCTATACACCCCATCACTTGCTAGGAGCCCCCGGGGGGAGATGACGCTAGCAGGAGCTGTTCGTGCTGCAGCAGCAGCAGCAGCAGCAGCAGCCCGTAGCCAGCAGGCAGCAGCTGCTACACGGCATGTAGCAGCTTACAACAACAGGTTGCAATTGCTGCAGCACTTTACACGCAGCAGACAGCAGCAGCAGCACAGCTGCAACAGCTTACGAGCTGCAGCAGCCAGCAGCAGCAGCACATCTGCAGCTGGCGGTAGTGTCAGCTGTTGCAGCAGCAGCAGATATACCTTTTACTACCAAGCGCACGAAACGGGTCTGTCTGATCTGTGCAGCAGCTGCTGCTGCAGCTGAGCAGCTTTGCTGCAGCAGCAGCAGCAGCTCTGGCTCTGCTGCTGCAGCGATGCTGCAGCAGCAGCTAATTGTGCGTAGCCAGTTGCAGCAGAGGGTGGGGGGTTGGGTGTAGGGGCAGCTAGGGGTTGAACTGCATCTCTGCGCTGAGGTGTACGTACACCTGAAAGCTGCATACGCTATATATCGGACGCAGCAAGCATTGCTAGTGCTGCTAATAGAGGGGCGGGGGGCGGCAGCAGCAGGCGCAGTGTACTGACGGCTGGCGTTTTGCCTGTGCGATGAAATATGAGAAACAAATGCAAAATAAATAATAATTAAACAGGGGCTGAGGGCTAAAGAGTAACAGCAGCGACAGCAGCAGCAGCAGCTGCTGCTGCGCGGGAGCGGCAGCAGCAACAACAGCAGCAGCAGCAGCAGCAGCAGCAGCAGCAGCAGCCTGTGCACGGAGAGAAGTGCCCTTCTGCTGCAGCGGAGGCCTCAGAAAGGTTTTTGTCTTGTCATTAAAAAGGAAGACAGTTGAATAAACCTTTTTAGAAGAATAAATTGGAGAGGGGAATTGGGCCCGACGCGCTGCTGCTGCTGCAGCTGCTGCTGC